GTGAACCCTTGATAATTTATAAATTATTATTTTACCATATCTTACACTGCCTGACATCTCCCTTCACCCTGCTGTGTCTTCAATTAAATGGGGGCAAACATTCCCCTCTTACTTTCCTTAGAGTTTTGAAGGTCACCTGGATCCCTAATGTTCCATTATTTTAGATGCCCTTTCATTGACAGATATTGCTTTGATACTAGTATTCTAATCTTTTTTAGATATTAATTTCTTCTGTTGTATTCTTTATAAATTCACCGTGAAAATTTAAAATTTTAAACAAAATTTTCATCTTAAAATAAATATCTAACAGTAAAAAGAATGATCACATATAGTAGACAGCTTAGAAAATGCACATAATTGTAAAGGGAAACATGTTACCCAAAATATTATAAATTAAAGGTAAATTACATTTAATTTACTTTTTCAAGGTTTTTTATTATAAAATGTGTGCATATGTTTATTGTAACATATTTGAAAGTATACAAGGTTGCATATGTACTCATAGATATATTTCTGTATCTTTGTCTTTGTCTGTATCTATCTATCATTTACCTATCTATTGATATAGTTGTAGTTACTGAAACACAACCTGATGCTGAGCCATCTTCCGATTGTTTTTATGTTTGAGGAGATTATTGTAGCCATTGTGTCAATCTATCTATATGAGGTTCTTCCTCTTTTTTACTAATCCTCTTCTTTACCAAGAATGATGTCTTTTTCTGGTGATTGGTCCTGTCAGATGACATTTCTAAGGTAAATGGAAGCTCACTGTGTCAGTCTGGGTAGACTAGAGAACCAAATTCATAGACACTCATATGTATTTAGGAAAGAGGTTTATGTACAAGAACAATTGACTGTTGAGAAAACATCCCAGCTCAGTCCAGATCATGTCCATCAATCCAATATTAGCCCATATGTCAGATACCAATCTATAAAGCCCTCTTCAGACTCATGAAACACATGCAATGATGCCGGATGCAAGAAGATCATAGGCCAGTGGATGGGACATCTTATGGATCCAGTGGTGTTGAAAGCATCTCAGTGCTGGCAGGGGTCTCCATGCAGCTCCTCGAGCTCCCAGGGCTCTGGCTGCATCAGGGTAGCTTCATGTGGTTACTCCTCAGAAATATCTCTCAGGGAATGAGCAAGTGTCCCGCCTTCAGCAAGCTCTTTATCTCCTTAGCACCTCCAAATGAGGACATCAAGCAGCAACCTGATAGACAAGCTAAACTCCACCTCTTCACTTGTAATGTCTCAAATTGACAACAGATTATCTAACTACCATCCTCACCATCCTCACTTTTAAGCAGCATTCTGGTATAGTTCTTCCAAGATAGTTTTGTTTATTATTTCGGAAAGCCACAGGGTGTGTGTGTGTGTGTGTGTGTGTGTGTGTGTGTGTGTATTTATGAATGAGGCAATTTATTAACCCAGCATCATTTGTTCTAATGTTCCTTGTTGACAGCTGTCACCTCTCTGTCCCAGAGTTGCCAGTTTGCAGCCACAGTCTTGGTCCTTCTCCACCATCTTGAGCCCATGCAGGGCTTGAAGGACCCGGCGGGCCACCCTCTTGGAGCCCTGGCTGAAGTGACTGGGCATGACACCATTTCTTTGCTGCCCCCGGAGATCTTGGTCAGATCTCAGCTCAAATGATTAACAACTATGCTGCCAGGCCTCTTTAGAAAGAGGAGGGATACATACAAAAGAGGAGCCATTAGCTAATCTTAACATCAGTGATTGAACCCTGTCTCCCACTTTCTCCCCACCCAGAAACACCTTGGAAAGAAGGTCCCATGATCTGCTCATGAAAAGTCAAAGCTTTGAAAACCCTTGGAAGCATAATTTTATGCTGCAACACTGGGATCTCCAGGAGTTAGAAATGACTCAAATAGCAATGAATTTGGTGGGTTTTACTTCCATGGACTTTGATTATTTATCCAAGTAGACATCACTGGCAAGTTCAGTTTCTTCGTAATTTATCATGATATATTTGATTGATAAAATTGTGAGGATTTTTCCCTTCACATCCATGCATGTGTGTGGTGATGCTGTTATCATCGTTATGTATTTCATAGTAAACCTTTACAATATGCTTGACTATGTTTTCAATCACCACATCTGACCAGCAATAGGCTCTCAGATGTCTGTAAAAGCAAACATGAAATTCCTCTGTAAGGGTCAGAGGTGCCATGATGGGGTAGTGGTTACCTGTTAGACTGTGATCCACATGGTCAGCAGTTCAAAACCACCAGCAGCTCCAACGGAGAAAGACTGGGCTTTCTATTCCCATTAGCAGGTGTGGTCTCAGAAACCTGTAGGGGGCACTGTGAGTCTGCATTTACACATAGTGACATGTGACAAATGGCAATGAGTTTGGATCTTTTTGGATCATGAGGGTATACTTTCTATGGCCATCTTTGAGATCAAATATCTTAAGCTGGATTTCCTAAGAAAGGAGGACTATGCAAGGCCTTATTAGCTAAAAACGAGCATCAGAAATGAAACAGAGATAAGAAGAGGTAATAAGAATGCGAATTTTCTAACTGCCACTGTGTGGCATCAAAAACAAATACTTCTTCACCCAGTGGATTATCTTCCCAGAACTGTATAAAACATGATTTCATACATACATTCCATTTGTCAGGGGAAAGAGAGAATTTCTTCCTGGTTCAGATAGACGGTCGCTGCCATTGAGTTAGTGCTGACTCACAAAAACCCTATAGGACATGGGAGGACTTCATCTGTGGGTTTTGAAGACTCTTTCTGGACATAGGGAGTTTTTGTCTTTCTCCAGAGGAGTGGCTGGTGGTATTGAACTTCACACCTTGGAGTTAGCCACCGTGGCTCCCATGACATCTCTTGAGTCTTAGTTTCCTTTTCGTCTGTATTGTACACACAGGGGATAGAAAAGAGCACCTTACCTGCACTCACAGAGATGCAAAGCGAGTGACTGTTAATGTGCCCAGATCTCCCCCACAACCGTCATCCCAGCTTTTATTTATTAACCTTACAAGTTACTGATATTTTGCATATTTACAGTGTTGATTATTTAAACAATGTTCCTAACGTCTTTTCTCTTTCACATGTGTTTTCTAAGAAGCGTTACAATGTAATATGTATGTTACCATTTATTCTGAGCTAAACCAATATTCCATTTAACACTGTCCAAACGTATCTGATAGGCTCTTTGCAATATTGCACATCCCTGAATGGAGGAGAGGATGAGAACAGTTTTGTAAACGCATCTTGCCCCTGAAAACATATGTTGTTGCTTTTCTTCTTATTTTTTTCCTGTTCAGTGCATTAAGTTATGTTTATAAATCTGTGCAATAAAAGGGGTTAAATATTCCACTGATTAATCTACTGAACTCAACTAAAAAATCTTCCCTCATATCCTCTGTTCTGTGTTGCTCTGACAGGGAGAGTGAATATGACATTTCTCCTCTACCAGATGGCTCTCTATTTTTACCAGTTGATGTTCACTAAATGAGAGGGAAAATTAAAAGAAGGGATGCAGAGACTTTATTATCATTTCATAATAAACTGTCAACATATGGAGATATTGTGCAAGTATTAGAGAAAATAGAGTAAGAAGTGTCACACCAAAAATATATCAAAATTGTCCAGACAGGATGAAGCCTGCATGTACATATTTTGCATTTTATTCCATATTAATCTTAAGGCTTAGTGTTGAGCTCCAAAGTAGAATTCAAAATAGATTTTATGTAAACTACCTTCCTCCCCCAAACAACTGATGATACCATATCTTCCTCATGGCATTCTGCATCTCCATATTTCTCAGTGTGTAGATCAGAGGGTTGAACATGGGAGCAACAATGGTGTAGAAAAGCGCAAACACTTTATCTTCTGGAAAAGTTACAGCCGGCCTAATGTAAATGAAGAGGACGGGCACAAAGAACAGAACCACAACCATTATGTGCGAACTGCAGGTAGAAAGTGCTTTCCTGCGGCTTTCAGCAGGATAAACCCTAAGGGTATATAATATCAGAACATAAGACACCATCAAAATTATGAAAGTTATCAAAGCAAGCAGGCCTGAATTGGCAATTACCAATAAACCAATTCTGTACGTATTGATGCAAGCCAGTTTCAGCAAAGGATACACATCACAGAAGTAGTGGTCTATCTCATTCGGCCCACAGAAGGGTAAGAAGATGGTGAGAAGAAATTGAGTGGCCGAGTGTAGAAATCCCCCCGTACAACAAGCTATGACAATTGTGTGACACTTCTGCCTGCTCATGATGATGGTGTAGTGCAGGGGCTTGCAGATGGCCACGTAGCGGTCATAGGCCATCCCTGTGAGGATGAAGATCTCAATACCACCAAGGAAGTGTATGATAAAAAGTTGTGCCATGCAATTATTATAGGAAATGGTCTTCTTCTCAGCCAGGAGATCAGTCATTAGTTTAGGTGTCACTGTAGATGTGTAGCAAAGGTCAGAGAGAGAGAGGGAATTTAGGAGGAAATACATGGGTTGGTTCAATAGATGACTGCATGTGATAGAAAGCATTATAATCAAGTTTCCTATCCAAATAGCAATGTAACAAAATAAGAATAATACAAAGCAGAGAATTTCAATGTTCTTGTTTGGAGAAAGGCCCAAGAGGATAAACACGGTGACATTATTCCTATGCTCCATGGCCCAATGCAGTTAACAAGCATAGCAGCCACCTGAAAAGTTGTAGTTTATAAGCTGTTGTCAGAAATATATGCAAATGATATTGATGGTAATACACATATTGTAAAAATTATGTTTAGCTAAATTGACTGAAGTATTTCAGAAATTAAAAATATTACATTTTATCTAGCTAGTTTTTATGGTTAGTCTCATGATGATTTTCCTTAAATATTTCAGGACAGTATGTCAAAATTGATATTAAAAAATGCTTGCATCCACTCACTCTATCAAAAAAATTAACGAATACCAGGTACTAACTTGTTCCCAGTTAGAATAGAATCTTCAGCTAAGGGTTGCTAATTGATTGATGTGCCTCCTGAAACCATGGTCCTTGTCCTTCAAATGAAACAGTTCAGTTACAATATCTAGGTCATTTCTGTAACTGTGCCCCCATCTGCTCTACTACATACAAACGTGAATAGCCACTATACTCTCACTGCCAGCGAGTCCATGCCCACTCATCCTCGACCTTAGGGCAAGGTAGAAGTGACCTTGCGGGTTTCCAAACCATAACTGTTCATGAGCATAGAATGCCCTGTCTTTCTCCCGAGGAGCAGCTGGTAGTTTTAAACGGCTGACTTGGCAGATCGCAGCCCGACGTGTAGACCAGTGTACAACTGTCCCACAGCAGTTTCCAAGGTTATCAATCTGGATGGAAGCAGAGAGCCATGCGTTTCTCCCACGGAGTAGCTAGTGGGTTTAAATTGCTGAATTTCAGTAAGCAGTCAGACGCTTTACCCACCGTGCCAGCAAAAGCTAAACCAACCTCTGGGGGTGGCAACGCATGGTGATCCCACATCGGATTTCAAAGACTGTAGATTCTTCCTGGAAGAGAGATCTCAATTTTCTCCCGTGAAGCAGCTGGTGGGCTTCAACTGACCACCTTGCTGTCAGCAGTCAAAGGCCTAACCCGCAGCACTGCCAGAGCTAATGATAATTCATGAGAGAAATGCAAATTAGTTGAGATGTTTCTTGTTTAAGAGGATGCAGAACACCTAACAAGCATTTACCAAACCAAACTTTGAACCTGGAAATTTCAGGGTTTATAGTCAGAGCTCATGTTTTAAAAGTAAAAATGGAGCAAGAGAACATAGATGATGTTAAGATCCAACTTGTTCCTAATGGAGGAGCCCAGGTGGTGTAGTGGGACTATGCACTGGGCTGCAAACTGCCAGGTTAATGGTTTGAAACCACCATCTGCATCACCAGAGAAAGACTGAACTTGATGCTCCTGAAAATAATTACAGTTTCAGAAACTTACAGGGGCAGTACTACCCTGACCTATACAGAGTCACCATTGACTCCGTGGCAGAGAGCGTGTGTTTATAATGACTTTGTTATTGAATGGAAAACCAGAGAGTCATCTAGATTACTTACATTGCACCTTCTCAGTCATCTTAATGTTAATATGGGAGGAGCCGTGGTGGTGCTCTTTGGTAAGGCCTGGACTGCTGCTAACTGCAAGGTCAGTGTTTCAAACCCAGGACTCCCTCCATGAGAGAAAGATGAGGCTGTCTCCTCTGGTGAAGATTTATAGCCTAGAAAAGTTTACACAGGGTTGATAGGAATTGCAAACAATTAGATGGCAGTGGGTTTGTTTTTCTTTTTGGTTAATATTAATTTGCATTTATATGGTAACTTCACAGTAAATTAAGCCCAAACTTGAATTTTATAAAAATGACAGAAAGCATTTTTTTAACAAAAGCAACACATTCCTCCTGTTCTCTCTACCAAAGTATCCCAGTTAAAAACATGAGAAAGCTGTGGGTATGGCAACTCATGCTCTTGAACCTGCTGTCACAGCAACAGCGAAATCAATTGCCATAAATTGACCCTGTCCCTAGTGACCCCAGATTTGTCAAGGTAAACCAGTGATCCATAGAGGTTTCATGGCTGATTTTTCATAAGTGGACCAACAAACCTTTCTTAAAGGGGTTTTGGATGGATTCAAAACTCCAACCCTTAGCTTAACAGCCAAGAGCATTAACTAATTGTTGGCACCATGCAGTGTTTCCATTACAATCTTAAAATCAAATACTAAAGAGATACTGAGCATATAGAAGTCTGCTCAGTACTAAGTACTAGTGCAAGGTCCTAAGGAGCACTGGGGGCATAGGGGTTTCTGCTTTGGGCTGCTAACTGCAAGGTCAGCAGTACGAAACCACCAGTCCCTCTGAGGGAGAAAGAGAGGATTTTCTACTCCCATAAAGAGTTACGTCTCAGAAAATCAAAGGGGGCAGACCTAGCCTGTCCTACAGGGTCGCTATGAGTCAGAACCGACTTGATGGCAGAAAGGGAGGAGGGCACGGTCCTAGAACAGTGGTTCCCACCCTTTCTAATGCCACAGCCCTTTCATACAGTTCCTCATGTTGTGGGGACCCCCAACCATAACAGTATTTTCATTGCTACTTCATAACTGTCATTTTGCTACTGTTATGAAGTGTCATGTAAATATCTGATATGCAGGATGTATTTTCATTGTTACAAATTGAACATAATTAAAGCATAGTGATTAATCACAAAAACAATATGTAATTATACACTGTGAAATATATATTTCTAATGACAAATAAATGAAATTTTGTCTTGAAGCATGGTGTAGCATGGGTAACAGTCTTCACGCGGGGTTCCAATATGTGGGCGTATCTGCCTGTGGGCGGCCCGCCTGGAGATGGTTAGAGGAGCGGTGTCTCAGTTCCTAAGACCATCAGAAAGATATGTTTTACATTGGTCTTAAGCGACCCCTGTGAAAGGGTCCTTTGACCCCCAAAGGGGTCACAACCCACAGGTTGAGAACTGCTGTCCTAGAGCTAATAAGGACAGGAATTAAAGCAGCATAATGCATGATATTCAGTGTTTGTTTTTTTATAAAAATGATCCTGTTATGACGTGAAACAGAAATCACTGGATCAAGTGTTTTACTCTGTAATTCATAGCAAAGTAAACTCTGTAAACCTCCAATGTGCTCCCAAGCGTTGCTAACCTCAAATCTAGTAATGAGGGAGTGAGAATAAAAAACACAGTAAAGAGAGAGAAGGTCAACAGGAAGTTTAGTTTTGAGACACTTCCATTTGATTTTTAGGGACCTACTTGGGTCTCAGGCTCATCTGGTGTTACTTTTTACAAGGAGCTTATTTGCCCTTTTGCTTTGAGTCTGGTCACTATGGTAACTTGTGAATTATTTTTTATACTCAGTCAATACTTCATTTACTTTCTACCACATATGCTAGGAATGTTTTCTGCTTGAAGTGAAATTCGTTCTCCAAACAAGTAGCATTTCCCAGTGACAGACTTTCTGCTGTTCCTTTCCCATTATGGGTTCAATGAACAGCTATTTGAAATTACTGGTCTCTTCATCTTACAGTACATTAGTCAAATATTCATACCCATGTTCATTGCAGAATTGTCCACAATGGCAGAAAGAAAGAAAGAAAGAAAGGGAAATAAATAAACCAAAGAGGCACTAAGGAAAGAAAGGATAAACCAACTGTGGTGCACAGACAATGGGATATGATGCAACACTAAAGTATATTGAGGAATCCGAAACACCTCCTAATGTGACTGACCCTGGAGGACCCTAGGGAGTGAAATACCTCCGTCATGAAAGAACTAATACTGCCGCTATTGTAAAAAGTCAAGAACATGTTTTCATGTGAAATGAAACATTCTTTGATGGTCACCAGTGGTGAGAGGGAAAGGGAGGGTAAATTACTGACTGCTAAAATCAAACTCACTGCCATCAAGTGGATTCCAACTCCTAGTGGGTCTATGGGATAGGGTAGAACTGCCCCTGTGGGTTTACGAGAGTGTACCCCTTAATGGGAGTAGAAAGCCTGGCCTTTCTCCTGAAAATTACTGAATCATTGATAGAAGAAATATTTGAGAGCAGCAAAACATATAAGATAGGATAGCTATGGCCATTGACATTAAAAATGAAATTTTACGTTAAAAATTACTTCATAAAATTCAGAAGGTGCTTCTATTCAAGTTTTTCCATCAGTCTGTTATATATAAACTGGAGTTGAAACTGCATTCAACAGACAGCACTCATTTAGACAGGCTGAAGGGGAGGAAATAATTCAGGACAGGTTTTTCTGAGTTACTTTCCCTGGCTTTCGCACCTTCCTCAGTGAAATGCTCGTCATTCTCCCATTCACATCATTTTACTAAATCTTCTTGAACTTACATTTCCCTCAAAATCATCCTTTCACTAGTCTCGGGGCAAAGGAGGTTTCTCCCCATTATATAAACAAATGTTGCTTGAAAGGCAAACGGGATACAGTATTTTAAATCCCCCAGTAAAATCACGATCTATATTTGCATCCACAAAACTCCTCCCAAGGGCACTCATACTCACACGATCAACTAGATATTAGGTAAATAATAAATTCTAAAGGTGAACTTATTTTTTACTTTAAGGCATTAAGAATCGTGTGCCTGTTGGATTCTTAAGGCCTTAAGAATCGTGTGCCTGTTGGATTTACCTTCTCAAGTCCTCAGTTCACTAGGTGGAGTTCCTGTAGATCCAAATTATCGAACCTATCGCACAACTGAAAAGACATGGCTTATAAAGGTGTCCCAGCCAGAATTAACTCAGCTGCCTGTGATTCAGCAGCCTCAGTCGTCAGACATTCCCCTGGGCCGCAGGACTGTTGTTCTGTTTGTGAAGAGTTGTGATGAAACCAAATTTGAAGGGCATTTACTTTGAGGACATTTTTATTTCCATCGTTTTTTATAAAGTGAAGGTCTGAATAATGATATTATGGAAATATGGTTCTTGGGGGATCTACTTGTCATACTATCATTTTGATGAATGAGACTACTCAGGTTGAAATGATCTCTGAAGTTTCACAATTGAGACTCAGGATAAATAAAGTATAGGGAGGCAGGGAGGAAATTGTCACAAAAATATGATTGGTGACAGAAAGCTTCAGCACAGTTAAAGGTGGGACAGCAGGAAC